CTTGTAACAATATTTTGAAATAAACTTTTTACAATTTTTCGATTCTTGTTAAATAGTGATATTGCGAGGTATCATTTCGGTTAATACCAATCATTTAACAAGTATTGGCTGATTATGGCTTAACTTTTGGAGTACTCTTATTGGTTAATTGCAAGCAACTCACAATAATTCGGTACTTGCCAATTAATTAGTTTACTTGTTTCTTGTCTATATTTATTGGCCGATTGCAAACCTACTTTGTGAAACAACTTAAGTATCTTGTTTGTGACATCCTTACAATAATACTACCGGTAATTTCAATCAACTATTGGACGACACTTCATTAACACTCGCTAATTAACCAACGTTAGTCCTAACCTCGCTTGCAAATAAAACGTGGCCTTTTACCAAAGTTCCACAATTTTTATCCTTTACCAAGGCACTACTACACTTGCTGTTTTCATCCAAGGGCTTTAAACAAAGAAAATAAAGACAACGTTTTTGTTTATTAAAAATTAATAAAAATAATAATTCTATCAGAAGTTTTGTTTGGATTCGAAGTTATTATTCCTGTTCAAGTTAATTTGATCATTACAATAAAGAAAGGTTTATAAAAACTTCCATAATTATTTGCACAGTAATTTGATAATTATAAAAAGTTTTTGCATAGAATTTTCATTTGATAATAATTATGTTGTATAGGTCTACACTGGCCTTGGAACATAAAATATTCGGTGATTTTATCTACCACGATCATGTATATATCACGTTATTAATATTAATATGAGAAATGTTCGAGTGAGAATTCAGCAAAAGAAAAATTTAGCTCCTTGGGAACAACTGATGAGACCTTGAAATATATATTTATATGTTTTTTTTGTGAGCTTTGAAGCAACCTTACGTCAAGTGTTTTTTTTACTTGCATCATTTTTGACTTAATGGCAGCGAATTAGACATAATGGTTTTACAACTTTGGTAACATTTCGTCAAACAACAACATTAGAGTCAGTTAATGAATGTTATTGTTATTTAAAAATTTTTACTTTTATTATATATTTGAATTCAATTCACTATAATTATGTTCTTTTTATGCAAAATCTGTATCAATTCAATGTAATAAGAGAACCAATTAAATTGATTATTTTACATTCATGAATAATCAATTCACTTCTTCTATCTTCTCAATCCAATTTATTAGAGGCTCGTTTTTATCCCTGTCAAAAAACATTTCAATTAACTTTGTACATTGTTTAATATATTTATGGCAATCCTTGAAACAACCTTTGACTTCTTCGGGAGAATGATCAATTAAGTTGGAATTACAAATATAACATTATTAGTAAAAGATTCTTTCAAATAATCATCAAATAGGTAAAGAAAAAATTTAAAATCTATTTATTTATTATATTTATTTTTAAAATAAATGATTTTACTATAAAAGACATACCTAAATGATCAAAAATCTGTAAATATTCATAATAATGTAATGTTTGGACATTTATTTCTGCTTATACTTGCAATTGGACGTGTCAAACAAAATTTTACGCATATGAATATAAAGGCAAAAATTGACTTCAAGAGTCAGATTAATTTCGGTTTTATTAACAACCTGCTTTAAGGGTAGAGTATACATAACACGAATCTACTATGATCTACAATGGCTAATTTTGATTTTATCTTGTTAAAAAAGTAAGCCACATATTAAAGACAAATAAAAAATAAATAAAATTGTACAAATTTTATATCTTTAGCTTCTC